CTTTGAAATTAAAGCAAAAAAGCCACCTAACATCATTTGGTAAAACCGTATCTCACCACAGCAATGGGAGGAAAAGTTTAGAGAAGAAATCAACTTTAGGAACCCCTCTTATCCTTCTGCTACTACATCATCCCAACGTGAAGCAGTCAGCTGCATCTAACGAAGGCCGTACTGCTTTAATGTCTCCCATCCAGGCAAACTGATCTGATGTGACAGCTGATGAAATCAGAACCAGGAATGTTGCAACAGGAGGTTATGCACGCTCACTTAAAAAATCTGGAAACTTAGGTACTGAAAATACTCTTTCTTTCCTTCCCTTCCCTCTAGTGGGCCTCTTCTCCCATTTCAGGGTTTTCCTGTTCCAGAATGAAGCCTCATAACTGAGCTGCAATTTTGCATTTCCATTCCCTGCTCACAACTTCAGCTGCTTTCAAAGTATGCGAGCTATTACTAAGATTCGGTGAAGAAGAAAGCTCACCAAGTCCAAGCCATGAAAGCATTCAGGCTGCAGCAAATGCTTTGAATGATTTTGTGGAGTTCTTCCCTTGGGGTCTTGCAAACAGGACCACAGAATGCTGTACAGTGTGCTGTTACAGAGAAGACCAAGGAGATACTCTTCTTGCCTACAACTCTTCTTGCCAGAAGGCTGGAAAAAAAGGACTTAGAAGAAAACTGGACTGCAAAACAGCTAGCAAACCACTGAGGTTACTCCTTTCTTTCCCAAAAACCCCAAGCTCTTCATCTTGCCTCTCCATCACCACAGATGGGACCTCTAGTCCATTAGTGACCTATCACAGCTGGAAGAGATTCTGCCCCCTCCTTCCCCATTTCCTCCTGTCTTAACTTCATGTTCTTACAGAGACAAGCATTGTCACCACTAAGCAGATGAACATGGATGGATACCAGGGATAATAGAAAGCAGCATCCTACTCCTTTCTCTTGGAAACTCATCTCTGTATTCTTCTGTATCTCTCCATCCCAGATCTTAAGGGCTGTAGGGAGTAAGCAAGCAGCAATTATCACCAAGCATACAGCTCTGACAGCAGCTGTATGCTTTCTCTAGGAAGCTAAAGACAGGTAGAACTAGGAGGAGGATTTTCTACTTCATTAGAAATCTTCAGAAGCGCTGTCAAAAAATTATTTTTTTATTTTAAAAATAAAAAAGAATTTTACTTTTTGAAGTAAAATATGGAACAATTGGAACTCCATCTCTGACAGAAACTTTCTAGTGCGTTTCACATGATTTTGGATCCCAGTATTATTTACTCATCTCTCTTTCATAAACTGGGATAGTAGATCCACAGTGGATCAGAGCAAACATGCAGGAGACCAAAGAACTTGTCTAAATCTCTGTACCAGGCATTTGCAAAGAAAGAAAGAAAGAAAGAAAGAACTCGGCAGTACTGACACAGCAACCACTGATTTCACCAGCTGGCAAGGACAAGTGCTGTTTATCCTAACCACTGAAGCACGCCAATGTCCAAGATAAAGTGCATTAGTCAATAAACAATGCAGGGCTTAGATTAGTGCAGTTAAACTAATGCTTTGCTTATTAGCCTGCACAGCAGCAGCAAAACTGGGGGGGGGGGGGGAGAAGCACAGAGGGACACAGCCTTTCTCCCATGGATTCCATCCTTAAGGCTTTTGAGGTGACTTTGTCACTGCACTGCATGCTCTCCCCTCTCAACGTTACCATCTCAGCAGAGGAAGCTCTCCAAAGTAATACGCTGGAAAAATGCTGAAGTGATGACAACATAGGAGTCACAGAGAAGATGATGTGATGTCTACTTCCAATCTGATGCCTAGATTTTGCAGACCATCTAGAGGTAAATGTACAGTGATAAACCATGTTTTCAGTCAGAGAAAGAGCAGGTTGGAGAAGCAGCCAAGATGGTAATGTAAAGAATAAGGAAAGTGACCCAGAAAAATACAAAGATAGTGGTCAAAACCCAGCTGTCTGCTTACTTCATGCACAACTGGGAATGCAGGCCAGCCAAGTTGCAGAGGTTTTCCAGATCTTATACTAAGCAAAATTATCACCTCTTTCTCTTTCAGTTTGGCCTCAGTACAAATAAACTCCACCCCAAGATCTCATTATACTAAGCAAAGCAGAGTGTGTTAAGTAATCTAGTTCTGTAGCCAGCGCAAAAGCACAATTCTAATTGAGAGAAAAATGCAGAAATGCAAAAAGAACTATTTATCTCAGGCTTCCCCAACCATCACAGCACAGGTCGGATTTATCACTACAGACCTTTAGTTCTGTCTCCCTGGCACTGTACAAACAAGAAGATCAAAATATTTCATGATGAATATCCAATTACTATTTAATTATTTATACTTGGTAATCATATTCAAATGACAAAACTTAAAGTAGCAAAGAAAAAGGAATGTTACTAATACCTTCTTGACCATGGCTCTTGAATTGGAGCTTTTAAGTGAAGTACATGAGAAATAAATTTCAAGGAGACCAATCCCTTCATCAAAGATAGCTATATGAATGCAACAGCCAGGGACCTACTGATCTTCTCAGAACTGCAGTTTGCTGAGTCTCACTCACTGAGACAGTACAGTAAAACCAGATAACTCTATTTTCATTAACTTCTTTTAATTTCTGTTTAACTTCTACATGTTTGGGGCTGTGAAATACAAAAAGAAACTGCATAGTAACAAAACCTGTCTTTCTCCCCCTAAAAAAGCAAGTCACACTTTTAGAGTAATACACACAAACATCAAAGAACAATTATCTATAACAGACACTGAAAAAGAAATACTGTTAAGCTACTATATGTGTGCCTGGGATAAGGACAAGAACAAGCACGAGCAGTGGTTAAGAGCAGAAATAACAGCAGGTTTTTTGCTATGACAAGCAGGCAGGAGCATTTGAAAGGGATAAAAAAAAAGGGAGGGTGGGAAGGCATTCTGGACTATGAAGGCAGGAGGAGAAAATCTGTGAACTTCAGGCAGTAGAACAGGGACCACATTGCTGAATATCCATAAAAGAGAACATATAAAGGGGGACAAGAACTAGCTTAGCAAGATGGGATATATGAAACTAAGAAGCCTTTTAGATGGTTCTCAGCCACTCTATCAAATATTAAGGAAATATATTAACATTAAATGTTAAGGAAATATTAAGGATAGTAATTAAATTTAAACATTAAATATTAAGGAAAGTGACAGAAAAGCACTTGTGCAAGCATGAGCATATGCATTAAGTATACTCGTAAGTACTGAGCCACAAGAGACAAAATGGCCACAAGACTGCAGAGGCAGATGTTTTACCTGCTTACACAGATACCACAGTGCTACCAGAGACATGGTCTGGCACACATATTTGCAAAACGAACTGCTCCTACTGGAGCCAGTTTCCACTGACATGTAAAAGAACTACACAAGCACACAGAAAACAGGAACAAAAATATCCGTACCGCCATATGGAATCTTCACCAGTTGCAGCCCTCGCTTTTCAACAGGGTTCAGAGAACAAGTTCCTGTACTGTTCATCGTGATTATTAGAGAATGGAGAACCTATTGCTCTAGAAGACAAGCCTCTGTGTGAGGAATTCCATTTCATATCTGAGCCATCAGAACTGCTTACAGCTTGATAGGTGATGTCTTAGCTCCACCTTCCACAATCTCTCTCTCCTTTTTTGACACCTCTCTAGAAATACTAGACTATTAAATTGTTTGTCTTTCCCATTGATACAATACACTGGTGGTTCGGGCATCATGTCAACAATAGTCATGTAAGTGCTTATGAAACAATTGCCTCACTCTTGCTAAAATCTTGGTCTAAAGAGCACCTTGAAACCAATTCCTACATTTGTCTTCTATCCAAGGGCACTTCCTGCACAAAGCGTGTTACACTATTTTTACGCAAACTGTGCTTTCACCCTGGTATCATAAAATTTAAAATATGTCAAGATTGAAAGTCCAAGGGCGTAATACCCTTCTATCTCCTTATGCTCCCTCTTGCAATTACCAAGCAGCTTAAGGTTTTACAATTGACTCTCCATTCTCCACTTCAATTTCACCAATTCTTTGGCTTTATAACACACATTACCACAGCCCTCTGAAAGATTTAGCCAGGATTTCAAGGACAGAAGGAAAAAACTACAAAGAAACTGAACATTCTACTGTGTTAAGAATAAGAGGGGTTTACTGATAACATATTAACTCAGTATCTTGCTTCCCTTTTTGCTTTTTGTAATGCAAATTTCAAGTAAGCACATCAGTGTATGTCTAACTCTTTATGGTGTTTCAACTAACAACAAAAAAGAGATACGCGAAAGATCCATAACCTATGGTTTTAAACATGAGCTTTCTTCAGAAACAACATATAGTAAGAATTTACGTGACCATGTCTGTAACAAAACCCTGCCACTGTGGCCTCGAAATCCAAAAGCACATCACAGAATCATTGAACAGTTAGGTCTGGAAAGGACCTTAAGATCATCTAGTTCCAACCCCCCTGCCATGGGCAGGGACCCCTAACATTAAACCATGTTGCCCAAGACTCTGTCCAGCTTGGCCTTGAACACCACTTCTTCGGGCAACCTGTGCCAGTGCCTCACCATTATCTGATAGTTTAATGAATCTCTGATATGTTGAGAACTGCAGTTCTGTTTCTCTCTAGCAATTTCCAAAGCTATCAGTATGGCATGATCAGTATAGTATGATTTTCCTTTTTTTCTTTTTTTTACAACTCAGGAGACTTGCTTTCAGTGAGTTAGGTGAACTCATAACTGGTAAAAACCAAAGACCTGATGTTGAGGCTCCAAGGCACCTGGGAAAATTATTCATGTCAACAGAAAGCATTTTAGAACTCCTAGGAATGGGGGGGGGGAAGCCTAGTATGATAAAGAATATTTAACAGGTTTTACTTTTCTGGCTTAGCTGCTGCTTTGATACAAGATCAACAGATTGCTGAAGTTAACCAGCACTTCAAGAGAGGGGAACTGGCACAGAAGATACCAAAATGAACCTCACACTCTCAAGAATTAAGAATTAAATTGTTTTATTCATTTCTCCATGTTAGGAGGACAGTGTTTATTACGACTATTAACCCCAAGTGTGGACATCACCCCATTCGACACTGCCGCTGGTCTATCCTTTCTTCACTTCATTGTGAAGGGGGTGTTATATCAAGAGGCAAGTGTCCCCGTACAAGAGAAGAGAAGATCTCCTGTGGTGTAGAAAAACCTAGAGAAACAAATCATTGAAGAAGTTAGTCTTTTTTCACAAAACAGTAATATCAGAAATTCGAGCAGACATCATTAGAAAAAGATCTCTAACTAGCACCTATCTATTTTCCTGGATAACATTACACATGCACCAAGGACTGAGCCATGGGTATCAAACTCCTGACTTTGGAAAAGGCCTTTCCAGGTCAAAGAGAGAGATGCAGTGAAGACTGTTCTAAAGACAAATTCTAATTCCTGTTACCTTTCCTGTGGGTAGAGGAGTTCAATCTCTGCAACTGTTGGTCCAGCATCTTTCTCAAGCATTAAATTCCTGTGGAAATATTTCATGTGGAGGAAAAATTGCGTAAAAGTTTAGCAAAGTCAAATTGCAGTCTCTTTCTGCCTAATTCTCCCACTGGTAAAGCTTCAGTAAACAAACATTTCCATTTGGGCATGGACAAGCCAAATCACATTACATTTGCACTACTCCTCCCATATGCTGTTGTAAAGATGGAAGGGGAGAATAACCGTAACATTTGTGTTGTTTCGGTTGGCCTTGTGTTTGTTAGGTGGATGAGAAAACATATAAATATGAGAAGCATAACAAGTTTCCTTCTGACACTCACAAAACACTATACAATTTTTAGTCTTAATACACAATACCACTGAACAGACAGAATCCAGAGAATAAACACTAGCAGATGGTGCTTTGCAGAGTAGTAGTGAGGAAAAGAAACTACACACATGCCCTTGGGATAACCATACTTCTTGTAAACACAAGACATGAATTATTTGCAGTTGCACAAACAGTCAATGTGGCATCCCCATTTCTCATCATGATATAACTGTAACAGCCACTCTGACTACTGGCCTCCCATTAGACTGGTAAGACAGAACTGTAAGATACCTGTGTATACAGCTACTGCTTTGTCTTCTCTCTCTGCTTCGCAGCACCTTCCTGTTTAGTCCACGTAGCACTGTATACAGTTTTCCTCCATATCTCTCCAGTTCCTTTCCCCCCAAAACTAAAGTATTTGATGACACAGATAAACTAAGCATCAAGAGGTCAGTAGAATTGCTGCTTCCACAATAAACAGGAAATCTGCTTAGAAAAAATGTGTAACTGGCCAAAGAGATAGCAACAACTGAGTTACTGGCTAATATAATACAGATTTTTTTTTCCTCCCTCTCTATTTTGTACAAGAGGTATCATCCCACTAAATCCTAGATATTAACGTATGTCCTTGAAAAATTATGAATGTGACAAGTTATTTTTTTCTGATTATTTTTTTTCCAATAAGGTATTGTAATCAAATGACCTCTAATAAAACTTCGTTTCCTCTCCACACCTCAATTACAGTGCAGTTTCTCTAAGATAGAAAATCAGTCCTGAAATGGTAAACTGTAAATATACTACAATAAACCACAGATTAACATAACAGAAAACCTGTAGTCAGGAAAATGAAAAGCATTACATGCTAAGGGAAATTTAAAGATTCATCATTGATCAAAAGCAACCGCACTTTCGAGTGGCAGCCATACAGGTTACTACTGACAAAGACTTCTGTCACTACTGCATATATTGCAAAAAATGCAGTCCAGCAAAACCTGTGCTTGACTGCAACCCTCTGTCCTCATCTGATCAAGGCCGAGATCAGCACAGCTGATTATTCTTGGTTAAAGAGCATCCCACACCCCTGTTTGACCCACCTCAGCCCTATGCACCAGAGACATTTCAGCAGCCTACACTTTTTTAATAAGATACATCTACAGAAGCACATCAAAGAGTTCTGAAAGCAAAGAAAAGGCAACAAAAGACACAATTCACTGTCTGAAACACTTTCAAAGTCCTTTCTCGGCTGTCTCAGTGTCTCCTTTAACTTCAAGACAGACCAAAAAGCCTTCTCCCCAGCAACATCAATGAGTATTCAACTGACACCAGACTACAACTAGCTGTGTAGTTCTTACTCATTTTGACTGCTTTCCCTTAACCATTCTGCTTCCTATAGAAATGGACAACAGAACGACATATTTAACTCCCCAAATACGTTTTCCTCCTCCCAAACAAAAGAACTCCTCTATTACACTAAGACAGAGTACTATCTGCAGTTGCACATGGCAAATTGCCTCCAAATAAAAAAAGCATACAGAAATTCACATAAATCTTTTATGAGCCCTTCCCCCACACACACTTGGCAGAGCTTTAATACACTGACATACCACTATGCAGACTCTGTATATTCTAGTAACACTTGCAGTGTTTCTCCATGGAGCAAAAAGGGGATGCAGAAATACCGTGAAGATGCCTTGCCTATGTACAGTGTGATTGTTAACTTTTCTATCAGCCTAATCCGTAACTCCCTTTTCAGATGGCATGAGGAACCTATCCACTATCCACTCCTCCTTTCACATACATAATACCCTTTGCCTGCCTGTAAAAGTCTGTGGCAAGAATGGAAAATATTCTGCTTTCTTCAAATCTCTGCCACAGAAGAAAACAGGATGCTTTGCTATGTCACATCTATTAGGAAATAGAATACCCTTTTGCATTGACAGCCATGTGAAAACATGAAGGATCTGGAACAGTACTATAAATTCCTGCTTGTTGTACACCCAAAATATCTTTTCTTAACAGATGACTAAGTCGCTAAAATGGTCCCCTTGCTCATTAAAAAGGCTTACACATATTTATATAGCTCTATTCTTTACTACGCTGAGAAGCAAAAGCTACAGGTATATCTGGACAAATAAACCCATGTTCAGGGCCAGATGACCACCCTTCTTACCAAGTATTGCTGTCATCTAAATTCAGTGCAGTAACATTTTTAATCCACATGAATAACCACGCTATTCAGCAAGTGCTATGGTTAGTTTCCAGATCAACAGTTCTGTATCAGCTTTTAGATCTCCTTCTTGATAACCAGTCCCCAAAGCCTAGCATATATTATGTACAGAAAGTCTGGTGAGATTCCTCCTTGCAACAAAAAGCTGCGAACACTCAAGATCAGCAAAAGCTAGTTTATTGCCTCATCTTCATCTCTCCTGACAGACCAACATATGCTTCAGACTCCCCTGCCTCTACCACCAGAATTCACTTTCTCACACATCTCCAGTCTGACTGGATTTAAAAACCTTTCTCTATGAGCTTCATCTCACACACAGACTTTGCTCATCATTATATTTAACAAGACTCCTTTCAAATCTCCATCCAAAATACTTTTTTTCATTTTGCACATTTGATTCCATTCACTTTGCAGGAACTCAGCTCTGGGACTTCCAGCCTCTGTTCCACATACTTTTGGAGGCTGTATGAGAAGTGAGAAGCTATTGAGAAAAGTACACCAGCTGTTCATAGTCTTGTGTTCATCTGATGTGCACTGGAGACTAGTTGCCTGGATATCAGTAACTCAGACTCAGCTTAGTTCCCGTACCTAGGAGTCGTTCCTGATTTCAATGTGACTACTAATTCTTTGATGAGGTCTAGCTCAGTGGTCTCAAAAGTAGAGGGCACTTTCCCTAGGGCAGGATGCAAGGCAATACATGAGGCTGCAAGAAAAAAGTATTTTTTGCATCAAATACAACAAAATAAATGTTTAAATAGTGTTCATATCATCTTTACCTCATCCTGCTTTGATTTCTGGGCTTGTGTATATTTTATAATGTACACAGCAGTACATGTATATAGCTTATAAATAGACATGTATCAGGGTGCACGCTTCAAATGCTTTTTACTGATATGGATCTTTTACAGACAACTGGCCTAGATAATTGAAGAGGTGGTTAAAACTACTAACTCAGAAACATAGAATTTACATTTCCCACTTTCAAAAGAGAATTGTAACTGTTGGTGCTTTGAGCATTTTTTCTATCTTGAGATACATAAATCATAGAATCAGCTCACTTGGAAAAGACCTCTAAGATCATCAAGTCCAAGCATTAACCGAGCACTGCTAAATCCACCACTAAATCATGTCACTATAGAGAACACTGTCCTTTACCATCACGGTGTTTCTAAGCCATCTATGATTTCATCTATATGGTGCTCTATAAATACCATTATACAGTAATTAATATCCACATAAGATTCACAGAAGAGAATAACTAATCTGCTGTTCGGCTTTTCCTGGTTTAGAGCTTTCACTTAACATTTTCAGGTTGGAAGTGACAGCATTTTGTTGTCTGAGAAAATTCTGCACTTTGTTTCTATATCAGTATCTGATTTTCTCATTACAGAAAAATCTCTAGACATTATGTGGAAACAACTTTTTCTTAAGTTTTCTGCAAAGATATTTGAGCATCTCAATGACTAAGTCCTTAAATCAATTTCATTATATTGTAATGAGCTAATGACTGGTGCAAACCTAAGAATAAATTTATCTCCTGTACTTACCAGTTCAGATTTATGACTAGTTAAACTAACCAATTAAAAAAATAGGGGGGAAAGTCTCCTCAAAGAGGCTTTTTATATATAGGAAACTTTGTAACAGAATTTTGAAAAACTGATTTGGACGTACTTGAGTAGGTTACTTGCTCCCTACCCAACAAAGTTAACAATGATTTAAGGATACAAGTTAGACATGATGCAAAACCTATTTATGTGTTACAGGTGAATCCCCTGTGGTTGTCTCTAAATATAAAGTAACCACCATGTATCACATGAAAATACTCAGCTCTTAAACTGTCATTACACCATGCAGCTGCTTGCTTATTATGCTTACAAATGCTTATTACATGCATTTGTAAACTATGCTCCTTGCACAAAAATAATGCATACTGACAATACCAGGACAGAAGTTCTTCACAGCCAATGGGGTACAAGGCTTTAGACCTGAAGGAACCAAATTTTGATGTGAAACGTAAATTTATATATACAGACATGTAATTTCAGTTACAACTAAGTAGCACTGTGGTGAAATACTCAATATGAGAAGTATATAAGAGAATCACCCAAAAAGTAGCATTACACAGCAGAGAGGCAAAAAAGAAAGCAGCAAAAAAAGCAGATGGGCTCTCAGCCTATGAGGCTGACCACTGGCTGACAGCAAGGATGCTTTTTAGCTGCATAAAACGAAATTCCACAGGTAAAGACTTCATGATCTTCCTCATTTATTCCCTGGTTTTTAAATCATGTTAAAACAAACATGTGACCGATGGCGTAACTATGACTGATCTTTCTGTGAGACAGAGAAATGGATGGATTAGATAAATTCCTTCCAGCCTTATTTTCCAGTACTCCTTTAAATGTGGCCATTTTTGTGAATCTTATTTTTTCAAGGCACATACTATGCCTTATAGAGGCAGTGGGGAAACCGGAATTGAATCTTTGAATCAAAGATCAGAATTAGGACATCAGGTACCAAACACCAACTCAGACAGATTAACATGTATACTGTATTACAGCTAGTCTTTTGATCATGAGAATTCTTGAAATTAGACTCACCATTCAAAGGGGCAGTTCAGGGACTCTGCCTTTCTCTTCCGTCCCCCTTAGTTGAGTTAGCATTTTGCAATCCATTTCTCCCAGTACTGGAGGTTTCTCAGGTCAGTCACATGAGTTTCTTCTGCTGCTGCTGCCACCTACCAGTTTTATTACTCTGTTGCAGCAGAAGGGCATATAGAAGAAGTTCTTGTTCAGCATGCACATAATCATCATCTACACCATCTAAGATGTCACGGCTTATTCAAGTTCTGCAACATTTCCCCCATACACTAGGCAAAGCACTGGGCACAACCAAGATCAACACAAGGCTTTGAAAGCCACTACATAAAGAGGGAAGAGTACGATCTGTAAAACTACCTTTCAACCAACATTAAATATTAAGTTAGTAACTTCTGCAGAATGAAATTTTTATCAACTCTCCCCACCAAAGATCATGTGAAGACACTGCAAAGAACTAGCACTGTCTTTCAAGAACAAACCTTCGCGTAACATATATGAAATCAGGTTAAGAGATGCAAAACTGTGAGCTAACATCAATTTGTTCACAAATCTGAGGAAAAGAAATTGTTTTTTTAGACATTGTTACAAACCCACAAATCTCTTCCCCAAAGACACCCAACACATGCCTGAAAGTGTTACACCCGTGTCCTATAGCAGCTGTTGCACAAAAATATACACAAATAAAGGAAAAGGCCTGCCCAGTGCTGAGACGCAAGAAGTGGGTGTGTCTGAAAGGAAAAAGCATTGGACACATAAGTAAAACAGGTCTGTAAAATCATCTTGCAAGTAAAATTAAAGACACAAATTATGCACCCAATTATACCAGTGCAATTGGACAGCACTCCTGGGAATTGCTTTCCCAGAGCAATTCAATTCCAGGACTATCTAGTGTAACTGAGAGCAAAATTTGGCTCTAAAATTATTTCCTTCCACTTCAATTTGAAGCTGCAATTTATAGTATTGCTGATAAACCTTTCTGTGTTTCAGGATAATATAAATTGAGAATATGAAAAGCAGACTATTATGATACAGAAGAGTTCTTAATGTACACAGACAAAAAAATCTGAAACAAGTGCTAATTCTTTACAGATGTCATGGGAAATAAAATACTGCATCAGGAAACTTGGAAGCCTGAATATCTGCTCATATTCTTCCACTTGGTATTCCAACTGTCTGATATTTACCGCCGAGTAAAATACAGATTCTCCTCCTTAAACAAAGTAAAAAAGTATTAAGTTCCCAGCACTTTTAAGTAATTTGAGATTAAGGGAGCGAGTTGCCAGAATAGGATAAAATGTACAAGTACTTGGATAGAGCAGTAAGGGCAACACAGAATGTGTCACTCCATCCTACACAAAGAGAAATAATCAGCCCTACCATCTTTCTTTGGCACACGTGTTCTCCCATCTGTCCTCCTCATAGGTTCCTGCTCTGTTGAATTTTAATAGAGTAAATGTTCTTAGTACTATTTCTTCACACCTATCAACTCCTAATTGATGCACTTGTATTTTACATCCACTTGCCAAATGGAAAGCATCCCATCTTTCAAAAACCTAAGCTAAAATAGTACACTTAGAGGCAAACTACCCTGGAATTGATAAAGAGGAGGTGGAATGAACATATTACAAAACCATCCTGCACATATACTTACTTATATGAGGTGACTCACTTTTGTTTCACCTGAGTAAAGCAAAGGACAATGGCAGTTTTCTTAAAGATCAACATGTTTAAGGGCAGGAAATAAAGAAGAAATGTAGAATTCTCTCTAAATATCACTGTTAAAGAAATCATTCAAGAAGTTTCACCAAGATGAACTGATGGGATGAAAGGAAGGTAGACAAGTTAAACTTACGAAGGTTACGTAAGAGCAGAAAAGAGCCAATTTACCTGACAACAGGTGGGGTTTGGATGTCACCAAACTGCTGCATTTACCATTTTACCCGCTTGCATTACTGGGGGGAAAAGTTTAGGAAGGAACATTCTCAAGGACTTTTCATGAGTTCTCACTCTCGCCATCAGAAAGGGGAGAAGGGAAGGTTTTCTCTGGATTGTTTGACTTTTTTTGGCTCCTGAAAAGTTTTGCAAAGAACAGTAACAAAGTGTGAACTGTTAGAACACATTTCTGTAAAAAAAAAGGAGAATAAGTCACACAAAGCAGAGCAACAGCGAATCTCACCCAAAGTCCGTGCATCTAGTTTGTGTCATCAGTTTAAGCAAACAAACAAAACAAAAACTTTTCAACTCAGACTGGATATATGAGAAGCCTGGAGGCTTCCAACAGCAGACCAAGATCCACCATCAGAATGCTCCAGAAGTTACTCTCAAAGGTTAAGAAAGACTTAAAGAAATAAAACAAAGGAAAAGGCAGCAAACATCGGGTTATAAATCCTGCAGTGTTCAGTTAAAGCAATTCCTAGATCAGTGAAAAAAAAACAAAAATGGGAAAAAAAATTAAAAAAAATAAAGACAGTAGCAACAGAAGTTACCTGTCCGAGCACCTACTATTCCATAGAGAGAACAGGAGTGGGTCGTGTGTCTCACACCAGCCATAAAGCCCATAAACCTTCTCAAAAAGAGTGAGCCATGAGAAAGATCCTGTACATACAATTTGTTTTCAAAGTCTCTCTAAGCCCTTAAGGTCCCTTATATATTTAACTGACAGATATTTGCAATAATGGGGAGAAAAGATTTAGCAAACGTCACTGGTTTCATTTGTTGCGTTTTGAAGTCCAGCATAACGTCTGAAGAAGTATCTCCTTTGCGTCTGGCATACACAGATGTTCCAGAGGTTATTTCCTGAGTAAGTACCACACACAAAAGATAGCACACCAAGTGGGAGAAAATGCTCCAAGAGCAATCATCAGGTCAAACCAAAAGTATTAACAGTCTACATATGCATTAAGCATTGACACTGTGTCATGGACAAGGTGTTGACATTTCAAGAGAAGATTTTACAGAACACATTAAAGCATTAAATACAAGGCTTAAGATACAATCCGTACATTGACAGAGCAAGACACCAATTATAAACATTGTAACTTCAACAGAAGAAAGTCTCCAGTGTTACAAAGAACAAAAATTCATCAGATGTAGTTTAAGAAACTTAATTCTTGCAAACAAAGAGTTTCTAACTGGCTCTTTCCAACATTAAAACACACAAAACCAGTAGGATCGCCATCAGCTGCATTAGCACTATTGCAATCCAGCACTACGTTGACCACTTCTCCAACACGTGCTTTCTAAACCCACATATGGAGGTAGTGTTACTGCAACTGTATGAAAACTTAGCAAGTGTTTTTCAGCATATGGAACTGAAGGAAATACAGGGTATAAAACTCACATCCATAAACTTCACCTTCACTGGGAAACACTGCGCAATTACCACAAGCTAGATTTGCTGGTGGGTTTTTTCTTCCTTTAAGTAAAAACAAGGCACCCCACTCTCACCCTCAGCCCACTCGATACATTTCACTGTTACAGGAGCAATGGGTAAGTAGGGAGTGAACACATGAGACGAGTGTGTTCCTTTGTACCAATGAACCCTCAAGCAAGGTTTTGATGTATTATCAATACCCAATGTCCAAACAAATATACATGTTTCAAATCCTGTCTCCCTCCCTGACCACTGTATATGGACTTATATCCAAACTACCAATGGAAGCACCAAACACAGAGGAGCACCTTATCCCAAGGGAGCCAAACTGGAAATCTCTCAGTCCATGTTTGTCTTTCAAAAAAAACTAGTGTTTACTTCACAAATTTTACTAGTGGGAGGTGTAACCTGGACATTCTGAAAGGCTGACAGAAATGTAAAGTTCCTGTGAGCCACAAAATACTATGGAGAGTCAAAAAATAGTCCAGAATGTTCAGTTACGAGGTCTTTCCTCTAAAAGAAGTTTCCTGTGACAGAAATACAGAGGTTCCACTATACCAACTAGTATGTGTTTACTCACTGCTGTTACTACACACATGCTCAATGCATGCCACAGCTGAAAAGGACTGACCCTATCAGCCTTGTGAGGAGTGCAGTCACCTATACATGAACCAAAAAAAAAACACAAAACGAATGGAAACAAAAAAAAACAAAAAAAAAACACAACCAAAAACTCCCAACACCACACCACCACCCAAATTCTCCTTAGATAAACAAGCAAAGGTAGAAGAGCCTCTGGAAGAGACACTAGTGCCCAGTGACTAGAAAATTCTATTTCTTTCATGTTTCGTGGTTCTGCAACTCTTCATGGGAGTCAAGAGACCTTTACACTCTGCAGGTATAACTTGTGTGCTTGAAGGCTCAGGAAGATTTTATAATACCTTTACTGCTGAAGCTCCTTTTGGTGCTGGACCACCTGGTCCATTCTCCTGCTTAACACCAACAGTCAACCTTTCACTTGATTTTAATAATAATATTTAATTCTACAAAAAAAAAAAGCCATTTTATTACATTCCTTTTAAAATAAAATTAAAAAAATAACAAACCAAACTGTACAAAGAAGCATGATCAAACCTCCATAAAGCAGGTTAATACTGTTCTGTTTATTGCCTCTTGAAGACTCTCTGCATAGTGTCCGTGAATAGTGTTTAAGGTCCAAGTGAAGATAAAACAGCAGAGCAGCAGAGAGGTGAGGAAGGGCCACAGAGGTGGTCAGTGCAGAGCCTCAGAGGGTACATGGGACATGCTCCATTAAAGTATCCAGAAAATAGCAGCATTGCACACACACAACCCCCCTCCAAACCAACCCTATTTTCACAAGATTATTCTTCAATTGTAAACATTTTACCTTTTTTTTTTCTTTCTTTTTGTTTTTTGTTTTTCTTAAAAAGAGGCTTATTTTTTATATATATATATCTATAGTTCCAGGCCTTTATGAACCCAGAGAATGAGAAAGGAATGAAAAGGGAGGAGGAAAAAGAGGAAAAGGAGGAAGATAGGGATTGAAAATGGACTCAGTATCTGTTTTGGTTATCTGTTTTCCAAAACAGCTCAAGGCTAAGGAGAAAATGCACAGCCAGAAGGACTAAGGAAAATCAGGCAGCCTGGAAAAAAACTAGGAGCTAAACAGCCAAAACCCGAAAGAAAAGAGAAGCCAAAAAAGAAAAAGCAAAGCAAATGCACACACACACACAGAAGTGTGTGTACTCACACCACACATGGAGGGGCTCAGGATCAATTTGTGGACCTAGGTTATATTTTTATTTTTTTTTAAATTCTGGCTGAGCAATTTTTTTTATTATTTTTTTATATACTTTTTTTCACTTTTTAGTTTTTAAACCTGCTGCACATTTCCCAAAGCTAAAGAATTGGGTATTTCTCCCCAGTTATACTCTTTGGATTTCTGCCAACATCAGCTTTTATGTTCAGTGGGGAAAAAGCAAGCCTGGTTAAGTACTGTATGAACTGCAGCTTTATTCTAAAGTACCTCAAGATGTCTATCACTTTTAACCACCTTTTACCTCCTCCACACCTTACCATGTTCCCCCCTCTCAGTGTTTTCTTAACAAATAGTCTGCAGTGTTTTTACTTTGGCCACTGTTAAAGATGCAGGCATAGAGAAGGGAGTGTTGGACTAGCATGTATTAAAGAAAACGGAACAGTAACATTGCAGATCTCTCTCCAAAAGACTAAAACACTAACAAATACAAGTCGATGCACGTTTGCTTTAAACTAGCGTAATTCTTTTTCACATTGGATTAGACATTATTTTGTATTACCAAACATTACAGTGCTGTTTATCTCCTCCAATCATGCAAAGATAGTTAAAACGTGCCACTTCCGCCGCAACTAGAGTATGACCAATTCTTCTACGTACCCTCCAAAATCAGGATTTGAAATGACAAAAAAAAAAAAAATAGAATCTGTCTTGGAAAACTTTATAAAGAAATATAGACACAAAGCTGCCAATTAATACCAAGAAAGGTACAAATTACAAATTTCTACAGAAAGCTCACATTAAAGTCAGCTGACACTTCTCTCAGCCTCATCATCTGAAAGGCCAAATCCTGCAAGGTCACAAAGTGACAACTTTCAAAGGATCCTGAACTTACAGCTCCCATCTGCTAAAGTAGGAACAGGAGGTGTCCAGGGACTTTGAAATACCTGGTATTTGACACCTTCAACTCAAATAGAGAATCTGAGGCACTTGGCCACTTACAGGATCAAGCCTTGCAAAGGCAGAAGAGACTTGACTGGTGCAAGAATTCACAGAAGTTTCTAGAGAGCTGCCAGACAGCTTTCTGAAAATCTTTAAGTGTGAATCATGCTTCCAATGTTTGCCTGTGAATACGTCTGGGACCAAAGCAGCATCCAAATAAAATTCCCACTTAGGTTGTGAACTGAGCATCTTCACTAGAAAACTAATACTGAAGAATGAACAAAATTTTATGTTCTGCAAAACAGTGGAGGCAGCAAGCACAACACACGTGCCTTTTACTCTTGCTCTCTTGCTTGACACCCCCCTCTCCTTTCCTCACTCCTCTGAGCTTCTCTGATAAACAGCATTGCAAGTTGGTTTAAAAATAAAATGTACAAGAGAGAGTTCTGTTGGTCAGCTATTTACATGTGGCATCACTCCACAAGAAGTTTGATCTCATTGGCTAATAGCTGGTTCATGTTGAACAGAGCCCCCGGGAGCTTGGTGAGCAACTCTCTCTCCGTGGTCTCAGGGTCACTGTCGACAGAGCTGGAGCTAGCACTCATATTGTCGACAGCGGCACTAGCTGGAGGGCCCAGCTCTGGCTCGCTAGTCTCGCTTGCCGTGGACACCACAGAGAGCAAGGACATACGCCGCGTCAAGCGGCCGGGGGTAAGGAGAGAAGCGGCATAGTCCGCTATGATACCAGCTACATCTAGATTACAAGCCTTGTCAAAGGCAATGAAACCTACATTTGCATTGGCCTCGCAGACGTAGAATGAACCGTCGTCCTTCATCAGCAGGTCAATGCCACATACGTCCATCCCCAGGATGTTTGACACTTGGACCGCCAACTGTTTGCCTTGTTCACTCAGTGAGCACATCATCCCTACGCCACCTGCAAGAAGCGAAAAGCATTTGCTGTCTGTAGTCTGGTCACAGGTGACTGACATCCTTCTCAACCGGGTAGTGCTTTTTGGCTGTAAGCATACTGCTCATGACTCGGAAAGCAACCTCCTATGCACAGTGACTACTAATGAATTTGAAAACACTGCACGATTTCAAAAGACAAGGGCAGGTCAAAATGACAACTCGTTGAAGAGTTAAGTGCAGACTTTTTAGTCAAGAAAGATATCATACCTTTTTATAATCCTGGGATATTAAAAAGATGACCTAACAAACCACCTTAGTTCCTTCTACATACGTATTTTTAAATTATCACAAGACATCTTTCAGGTAAATTAAACAACTGTTCCTGATAAGACTACACCTCTAACAGATATAACTGAGGGGACAGGGTAAAGACATTACCATCTGCTCATGTCCCTCTTAGCTTGCTATCATACGTCTGTGTCTCTAAAGCAAGAATTGGGGAACATTTGTATCTGAAGCTCAGCTGGCCCACTCCACAGTCCATCATCTAAGTATTAACCAACTCAGACTTTATCTATCACAACACTTACATTTAAAAAACAAAAGGGAAAAAAAATTACAAAACACCAAACTAAAAAAAACCACTTAGCAGAAAAATTGTTAGGCTTTATTTCCTCATCATCAGGTATTAACTATATGTCTCAGGCATTTCGGGCATTCTCACCAAAACTGTACTACACATGAACACATTTCATCCCATCCCTGATCAGGTTCAGTACAATTTCAGCCACGCAAACTCAACCTTCCTTCCTCCTTCCACCCTCAGAAAACCCCCTGCACTGCACCCAAAACTATGCAGAAACTCAGTTCTGTGTATGCTACGATCAATGTAGTAACCCTCCTCTTCCTCCCAGGGCACGGTCTTTACTAAAAAAGGTTGCAGGGGGAAGCCTGAAAGACTTAAGGATGCATAGCAGCTGCAAAATGCAATACAACTGTTTACTGCGCTCAGCACTTTCTTCCCTTAACACTCTCCTCTACCTTCTTACCAACTGGCCGTCTCCTCCACCTCCCTCAGTCTCAACTTCTACCTTCCTTGTTTTTCTGTTCCTCTTAAAAGGATGAAATGAATGATAACATGGCATTAGCATGACACTGCCACTACCACAGCAGTTGCTCTGCTTGTGTCCCTAGAACTTTCTCCTCCTTTTCATCCATTCTATCCAATACTTTGGGCAGAGATTGCCTCTCCTTCTGTGTTTGCTCAACACGTGTCACTTATTCCTCACTCCATTGTTTCCTCTGTAAACCCTCAACAGCAAGCACGATTAATACAAAAGAAAATGTGCAGCTTATTTCAGCTGGATTGAAAAATTGTGATCAAAACTATGAACGATGCTTTTCCTACCAAGTGAGCAGTTACTCTGCATCCTCCCATCTGTTGAGCAGCGGAGCATGGTGCCCACCACACGGCCTCCTACTACGATGACACGCACATCCTTGCCATGGGACTCTTTCACGTATTTTTGAAATAAGTAAGGGGCATCGTGACGGATCAAGTGGCTTAAGTCTGCCAAATGGTGCTTGTCTCGCGCCAGGAATACAGCTTTACCTGTATGAAGAAAAGAACATTGGAAGATTGGAAGAAGCTACTGGTTTGAGCTGCACCAAAGACCAATACGCTGCCCATTCTCACATGCCCCATCTGTAGCTTATACACATTTACAAATTCTTCTGTGGACACCAGGGTTCCACTGCTTCACTGCTTCTAAGAGTTCAGGGACTGAGAGAGCTGAGGAGCCACATAGGAGGGGGAGAAGAGAGGAGAAGAGAGAAAAAGCAGAGGAAAGCACTTTAGACACAAAAAGTGGTCTTGCAATTTCTTACTCGTTTTGGTACAGGTCCTTAATGAGAGAAAAAAAGGAAGAAATACTTAAAGAGCAGCAGACATGTAATTAATAAGACAGTTTCATTCATCCAAAAGGACTATATCTGCAGCTTACAGCTTCAACACACAGCAACCAATGACATGAAACATAACCACCAGGCAGCTAAGAACTCTGAAGCTGCTAGCATGACACTGCAGAACCAGCTGCTTGTTAGAAGCTGCTGCTTGTTAGAATGAGGCTTTTCAGTGGAACAACTGCATTCAGAGGAAAACAAGACTGCAGAGTACCCAAAATAATTTAGCAGAAGATTACACAAGATATAAAATTAATGGCATATATTACAGTAAAAACAAAAAAAACAAACAACAAAAACAACAAAAAACGCAACAAAACAAAAAAAAAAAAAAAACTCTTCAGAATTCACCAGCTTTTCTGCAAGCAAGCATCTCAAGGACCTGGGGTTTTTTTAACCTAATTTCATTCCTCTTCATTTCTAGAGCACACTGAAGATTTCTTTGTTCTTTCTCAATTTTACTAATACTGATGGAAAGTCACCCCTGAAACAGGCTCTACAGCTTCCCATCTCATTTCTAGTCTCACAGCATGGCATGCCTTTCTCTCTGAAGTTACATTTCCCAGCTCCTCTTCCCCTTTTTTAAGGGCTCTTCCATGTGTCATATTACATGTTTTCCAAAAGGCTGCCCATCTTTTTTTTGTGGCAGAATTGTAACTCAGCTATGCCACAACATTAACAGAGTACAAAAATCAATTGAGAAACTGCCTATCTTAAAATTAAGATACCAGAAATGCAGCAATAGCAGAACTAGGAGAAATAACATGTAAAGAAGAATTCCACCAAGTGCTCCAAAACCCAAGTGCAACAGCCACTGCTTTGTCTGGATTTAAGGTCTGCCCAACACAGAACACCGCCTGATGAACATGGAATTTCTTAACCCAAATGCTGTATCAGAATGTAGGCTTCAAAATCATTACAAGAAAGCTTCTCCCATTCCCAACTTAGCTCTCCTGCATTTAATGATCCTACTGTATTCCTAAAATGGGATAGGATGAATAATGCCTTATAGGGGAACTATTCACTTCTTAGGAATTATGCAGCATTATGACATCTCGGCAAAACCAAGACTGGTACATTTGCTGTAGCAGCCAACTGGACCAACTATACAGAAAATGGACCTAGAATACAATGACTTTTATTCACTGGCCAGTACCTAGGACCATGTTTGCCCATTTTGTTTGGGTTTTTCTTTTTAAATACAATTTGCAAACGGCTGCTCTTCAGTTAATCTTAAAATGCTTCCCCAGCTCTCTTCATGTGAAAGGATATGTGATGTGCATAAATTTACATTAAGATGCCTGGAATTTAAAGTGCTCTAAAGTAAAACTCGTAAACAGAGATTTATATGAATTCTGGAAAAAAAAAAAAGCAGAAGAAATTCAATAGCTGCAAACTCTGTAATTATTTAATAGATCTTAGAGAACAGGCAGTGTCAAGTCAAATCTGCCTTAGATACTCCACAATTGTAAAACTGAGCTTGCTGCAAAGTCAAACTCCAACATGGCTTCATGGCTCTACAAGCACTTTAAAACTATATAATCAAGTATTACTGCCAATAGAAGCAGGTCTATCTTCCTGTCCCAGACTTTTGCTCTCACTCTTCCATTACATCAGCACAAGCATTTGCCCGAGTAAATGACAATTCACGTAAGGAATTAATCCCCGTAAATATAACCCATCTAGATTCATCCAATAACAGCTCCTGAATTCTAGTTACTACATGACAACAAAAGCACTCACGAGAGCAGAAGAGATGCACCAGAGCAAGAACGGAGTCTTACTGACAGACAGTAAGAAAGAACTGCCACCTTTTTCTTATGCTTTTGTTTAAGGTAACTGCTGATTTAAACTTTGGTTTCTGTCTTTTTACTTTTAGTATTTATTAAATTGTTTTTAAAGCAAATTAAAAACAGTGCAACCTACTGTGCAAATAGCCTCTGAAATTGATTTTAAACACATTTTCCTTTAGTAGATCACTAACATTAAACAAAATTTATGTATTGTTTCATATTCAGTACTTAAAATAAAAGACTAAGAACAGAAGAATTTAATCTGAACCTGCTGTTATTATCACCAGCACTGTTACACAAGATATTTTTTGGAATAAAGAGATCCATTTGGAACAAACAATACATGGGATTTTATTTATATCAGAATCCTAATTATGGGCAACATAAAAAAACAGGTCAAATTAAGACTGACTGAACCAAGATTTCATTTCTTATGCCTATTTAGAAACATTCCTAAAATCCATGCAGGCTTTTATTTCCCTAAGGCCAGACCTCCCATTATTCTAGTTCAAAGCTTTCCTCACAGAAGTCACCAATGCACCATAATTTTGAAATCCCATCCCCTCACCTATTGCAAGACTCAGTTCTACTAAAACCGCTTCCCAATGTTGCGGCCTACTGAGCATTCAGAGGCCAAAGTGTAGTAGAATTTAAATGTACCACAAAGAAGTCCAATGTCCAATAGAAGACTTAACTATCTTCACTTGACAAGACAAGATCTTAGAGTCCTCCTCAGAACACCATTTTCCCCCCACCCCTGGCCTCACACCCACCTCGGTGACCCCGCGTGTTCTTCACCACCATAGGGAACTCCAGCACTTCCGCCTCATCAATCATTTTGGCAAAATTCTCATGACCACCTGGCAAAAAGAAAACCAACAACATTATGTGCCACCAATCTAGTATGGTCAAATAAGGGATATAATTGCCACACATTCCTCCCACCCTTACAGCTTAGAGAATGCAGAAAAAAACTATCAGTTAAGAGAAACTCAGTCATGAAGTATGATCAGACTTTGAAGGTGTTTGTGATCCACGGGATACGAACTCCTACGTCCTCTGAAATGAAAGACAAGTTGACAAAGGCCTCCTGATCACAACCCCAAAAGGCTCAATCCAACTTTTGAACTCTGAAGGTCCCAATTCTACCATCCTGATCCAGTTAATCCCTTTTACTTTATCAACTCGCACCTTTTCAAATATCTACCAGGAAAACAGCACAGACATAACAACAGTAACAGCTCCATCCAAACTACTAACCAGGAAAGCAACAAGGAATATGAAGTCAAAGCATAATCCAGAAAACAGCAACAACCTAAATCTTGTCACTCCTCCATCTCCCTTTCCAAGGCTTAAGACTCTTGCATCTCATTCTCCCTACTTCCTGAAGTAGTACTTCCACCTTTTTATCTCACTGCATGTATAAGGACCTTTTAATGACCATTCTGATGATTATGGTTGATACTTGAAGGTTGAGTTCAGTTCAATTCACAAAAGGCTGAGCACAGTACAAGAAATACAAAAGAGAAAGTCAGCAAACAAAGGGATGAGAGTCCTCTAACAGAATGTGCAGTAAGTAAAGAACAGATGCCAAGCCAAGACACTGGTCACAAAGCCAGCAGCAGCCATCACTACCCAGTGCCATGGAATAACATGTCATTCAGCACATCCTGTTTTTCTTGGCAAAGCCAGCTCTCCCTGGGAATTTAATACCTGTGTTTAAAAAAAAGTAGTTTCCTTCCTGTCAAATTCCAGAGGCAGGCATTAAAAGAAGTGGTGGGAAGTTATGAACAGAGATGTTCTGCAACTACCCCATTGTTCATGGTCTCCCTGAAAAAACACTGAACACTTACTCCTTTCTCAAGGAGCCAGAGCAACTATATCCATAAAGAAAGGGTATGTTTCTTCTCAGATTTTTTTCACAGTAATTTTTGGAAATTGCAATTCAGACTAACTGATAGAAACCCATGGTTTTGGTTTTGTCAAGTTTCTGTTTTTTGTCAAATTCCTATTACAAGTCTACTGGTGCAACCAGACAGAAGAAAATGAAGGCTGAGAGGTATCTTCAGTTCTTTAACATACTGTAAATAAAATCAGAAATAGCATAAGGGTAGCTCAGACTCATGGTTCCTCTAATATAGCACTCTGTCAGAAACCATACACTCCAGAAGCAGACACAAGAAACAAATAATTAACTGTTCTGGTGGCAAACAAGTCCCAAACAATTGTTGCAAGGTGAACATGAGGGCCTGTACTCTTTCTGTCCTTTCACGATAACCAAAATATTTGCAGATCTTTTTATTCATACAGAAATTTAATCCCCTTTCAGATTTTACTGAAGTCTAGATCCTTACAGTGTCCTATGACATGTAGCTCCCGATGTTCTTATCTGTTATTTCAGACAACTGGAAAACAGTGCAAAGTGGTTTAGTAGTAACACCAAAGTTAGTTGCTTGGCAGGCTGAGGTACAGCTAAAGTACCCTTCCCAAAGCATCACATCTAATCAACAAAGCCAAAACCAGAATCTAAGTGTTACAACTTTAATTTGCTTTTCTGGTTATGGAATACTTGTTTGTGGAACTGTCCTGGGTTCAGCAGTAGCAGTCATGTTTCTCCTTCTTGGTAGCTGGTGCAGCGCAGTGTTTTGACTTTCGGCTTGGGAACAGAGCTGATAACAATGATGTTTTGGTTTGGCCAAGGACTTTGTGAGCCTCATGCTCTGCCAGGGAGGAGGGGAAGCCGGGAGGAAGCAGAGACAGGACACCTGACCCAAACTGACCAAAGAGGTATTCCATACCACAGCATGTCATGCCCAGGATGTAACTGGGAGTTACCCAGAAGGGCTGGGAGGCTGCAGGGTTGGAGGAGATATTGGTCGGTGCTTGGTCGGGCTGAGGGGGGGCAAGTTATCGGTCGGCTGGTGCTGAGGTGTTGTATTCTCTTCCCTTGTTATTTCCTTTATCATTGTTATATTGGTGGTAGCAGTAGTGATCTGTGTTATACCTTAGTTACTAAACTGTTCTTATCTCAACCTGTGGGAGTTGCATTCTTTTCGATTCTCCTCTTCGTCCCTCTGGGAGTAGGGGGAGGGAAAGAAGGGGGGGGGGGGGGAGTGAGTGAACAAGTTACCTGACTGGGTTTAAACCACAACAGGAACAAACCTCATGCAACTTAATTCTATGGATTTCCAAAACTTGACTCATACCTTCTGCACTTCAAAAGCATAAATTATGGTAGGCAACTATGTTACACATTTGGTCCAAAAGCCTTACCGTATGAAAAAGTGTCTGGAAGAGGCACACCATGACCAGCAAGTTCTTGAAATGTCCAGAACTTGTTGACACAGTTGAGGATGGCCTGGGGACGATTCATCAATCGACAGCCCATCTTCTCTAGGTGGCGAAGGACTGTGATATCACTGTCACTCTGGACCCAAGGTGTTGGTACACGCACAACCACCACCTGTGGGTAAGCAGTAATGAGCTCGCCATTCACTCGGAGACCTAGAGAAGGAGGAGAAAAACATCCCGATCAACTACAAGGTCTTCAGGAGAAGGTAAACAGGCAAAAAAATACTGCACTGTATGCGACCACAACAGATACCAGACATCAACAGTAAGCACTATAACAGCACAACTATCCCTAAAATGCATCTCGTCAGTTGTGCTGTTTCACAAATGCCACTCTTAACCTAGGACGAGGCAAAAAACAGACTGTATTAGGGCACACAGTCTTAGGCTCCTTCCCAGGGTGAAAGACTTTTTTTATAGGTTGACACACCATCCTTTCTATAAATGTTAGCTACACACTAAGTTCATATCATCAGTATCCATAGCTCAGGAGGCTCTTGCCTCCATCATTTCATACCGTTCCCAGTCCCATCTTTATTGATCCCTTTATTTGTGCCATCACATTACACAACACACTGCCAAAGTAACAGAGGTTAGCTATGACCCTTAGGAAAAAAATAAAGCAAAGCAGTATTTTTAACACTGATAATTTAAACAATCTGATTTATACTAAATAAGCACTTAGAAATAACTTTATCAGCTAACAGGATAACACCCTGTGACATCAATGTAGGAACTAGAAGGAAAGCAAGCTTTGCCACCAAGACCAATGCATTACTTAATCATGACCTATAGCTTTACAGACCATGTCTCTGAGAAAGGAACACTGAAAGACAGGCTGCAGGAATGAGAATACAATAGGATTGGATGGAAGGCATCAAGCTCAATGAAGAGAGTCTGGCACCTGAAGATGGGAAAAGACAAACAGGATTTGATATTCACTTTATCTACCTTACACTGAAAGTAAAACTTTCTGATTTCAAGTATAAAGTAAGACAGCTCACACTTCAGCACCTTAAGGGTTAAAAAAAGAGACAGGTGAGCTGAGAAATCACAGCGCATCTGCATTTCTGTGCCTATGAAAGCTGTAACTAGTCAGATCTAGCCAAAATTAATTACCCGATTAGCTCTATATTCCAAAGATGTTACTTTTCTAATAGAGACTTAAATCTATTTAACCTGAAGGCACATATTGGCAGGCAATACATTTCGTTTCAAGGTGCATTAGAATTAATGAGGGGGCACGAAAGAAGGGAGGGTGTCCCTCTCTCTGTACTTCCCATTTTCTTTTCTTCTCCCCAGTCAGGACATACTTTAGAACCTTCCTTAAATATAATGAAGCAACCACCTAATTCCCAAAATGGAAGTGGAAATTGCTGTCCAGTACTCAAGACACGGAACCACACTCTGGAAGGGCCAAACCAGAGCCACATCCAAGACAAATCCCTTTTTCCAATCCCACTGCCATAACTGCACAGATAGGAGCAAACACAAGCAGCCGGGTGCTCTGGCTGCTCACCTCATTAGCACCAAGCACTGCCGCATTGCAGCTGACATGACTTGCGTGTTTAAGCAAGCTGGCTTCAGACAACACACACCCCATTACATAGAGGCATCTCAAGCAAGATAGGAAAGCAACACTGCTAAAAACCTAAACAGAATGTGAACATCAAGAAATGGACAACCATTTCCTTTCTCCAGAAAAGGGTACAGATTCAGAAAGAAATGGCTTTTAACTTAGTAGCCAGATTCTAGCTTATGCATGTATTTTCTCATTTAGATGCACACCCAGTTACTCCCACTTTTGCCACTGTAATTGCATGCATGTCCTGATCCACATGCAAGCTGTGTAGCAATCATTTTAAGGAGGACTAAATTTTCTATGGAAACCCAGAACTGCCATTGCATCTGTGTTGTGAACCAAAACTACAGAGTTTTCCAATTTATAATCTCTCAGAGTCTATTCTGCTGTTTCACTTTAAAGTCACATCACATGCTGAAGTTTTATGCACAGAGCCTGAAAAAGAAAAACAGCATTTTGAGGATATGTGGAATTCACTCACCTGGAATTCTCCTGCATACCTGCATTAGACTTGACTACCAGACCGGTGTAAATTCTGCCAGGCCACAACCCCCCCCAAGAGTGACTCTGGAAGTACGATGATGTTATCAACAGAACAATCTGAGCTTTTGTTCCAGATTCCATCATTTTCTCTGGTGTGAATTCTGTTCTTCCCAGAACAAAACAAAACATTCTCTCCCTTTACAGAAGACAGTTTACAAACAAAGACAAGAGCTACTCAATTAAATGTATAATTTGAATCACTACTACTGCCATACACCATAAAAATTAGCTGCAGTCTCCCAGCAACACAGTGCTGCAAACAGAAGCAGCTTTATTACAGTAAAAAGGAGAGAGAGATTCTGCCATTTTGCAATAAGCTTGCGTTCAGCATTCCATTCAAGACCCAGCAGTTAACAACCAGGTTAATGGTCATTCTTTCATTTATTCACCCTGACATGCAGAAAGCAGTTAACACGGAAGATCTTAATTCTTACAATTAATTTCTTTTCTGAAGAACCAACTTATGAATGCAAAGACAGAGAAGGGAATGTAACAGAGATATTACTAAAAGATTGGTTAAGGGGTAACCAAACTTCTTTTTAATCACAGAATCAACTTGGTTGCAAAAGACCTTTAAGATCAAGTCCAACCATTACCCCAGCACTGCCAAAGCCACCAATAACCATGTCACTGAGGGCCTCATCTACACCGTTTGTGAACACTTCCAGGGACAACAACTCCACCACTGTCCTGAGCAGCCTGTTCCAATGCCTGAGCACCCTCTCTGTGAAATTTCTCCTAATATCCAATCTAAACCTCCCTCTGGTGCAGCTTGAGGCTGTTTTCTCTTGTCCTGTTGCTTGTTATCTGGGAGAAGAGATCGACCCCCACCTCACTACATCCTCCCTTCAGGCAGTTGTAGAGAGCAGTAAGGTCCCCCTTGAGCCTTCTCTCCTCCGGACCAAACACCCCCAGTTCCCTCAGCCGTTCCTCATCACACTTGTGCTCCAGACCCTTCACCAGCTTTGCTGCCCTTCTCTGAACCCGCTCCAGCACCTCAATGTCTCTCTTGTAGGGAAGGGCCAGAACTGAACACAGGATTTGAGGCGCGGCCTCACCAGTGCCCAGTACAGGGGGGTGATCACTGTCCTGGCCCTGCTGTCACACCACTGCTGATATAGGCCAGGATGCCACTGGCCTTCTCGGCTGCCTGGGCACGAGCTGGGTTATGTTCAGCTCTGTCAATCAGCACCCCCAGGTCCTTTTCCAGAAGGGGATTTCCAGGAGGTTGCTGTGGCCCAAATGCAGGACCCAGCACTTTTCCTTGTTGAACCTCTTAACACTGGCCCCAGCCCATCCAGCCAGCCTGTAATGGAAATGAACTGCTCCTTTTTCAGTGATAGTACCAACCTGGTCCCAGAACAGCAGTAGTGAGTTACAATCACAGTTAACTGTATACAATGAGCTGACCTTACAAACATACAGAAGATCACACAGAAGATCTTCAGATCATACAAAAGAACCTCGGCAAGTAACAAGTTGGACCATTTGCTGGCTTTCTCAGCGGATGCCCATGGCATTGCAGATACGGCAAACATAGCTGTACAGTCTTTTGAAGTACCAACACTGAGAGTCAGGAAATTCCATGTTTATCTCAGACAGCTATAAAGTCCTTTGAAGTACCAATGCCGAGAGCCAGGAAATCTCATGCTTATCTAATACCATGAACTTTACCAACACAGAACAACCATTTCACCAGTGTTTGGGGAACAATTTCTTAGGTTATCATAAAATGTCTGGGTATTCTTTGGCCCTAAGACTCCCAAGTTGGAATATCACACTATAAAAACAGATGTAAATCCTGCACTTGAACAAGACCTGTTATTTTCCTCAGTACCAGCTTTCTTCGTCCTTCGTCTGAAAGATAAAACCCTCCAAAATGGAATGTGCTAGACCTTTAACATTATACACCAAACACCACGGTATTCAGATGAAAGCACAAAAGGAATTACAGCAATGTGAACAGTAATTACCTTGAATAAACTTAACTAGTTACACCAAATCTCCCAAATAAAGCCAAAAAGGCCCAAGTATCTCTCGAAGACAGCTCGAAGCAGCACATGACAGAAATGAGTGGGTAAACGCATGATTCCTTGTAAGTTGGCCTAACCAGTCCTCCTGCTTTTCATTCCCCCAAAAACAGCAGGTGAACTTGAAATGCAAAGCAGCTGGTCTCTGCTAAAAAGGCTTATTTTGGCCCAAACAGATGAGAACCCATGAAGTCCACAGAAAACGGACACAGCATTAAACCCTAGTGAAGACAGAAGAAAGAAGCAGAAACATCTATCACCAGTGAGAAGACATGTATCTATACCATAAGAAAGTTCTTGAGACAGTAACAACTAACATGGTAGAGTCTACTTGCATAGCAAGATATTCAAGATGACAGCTGCCTCTCAACAACCTGAGTTAGTGCCATTTCAAGGTGGATGCACATACTTTGGAAAAGAAAACCACGAAATTCTGGAACTTCTCAGTCCTTATTCATGCACGCAGTGGGTTTTTTTAGTACCTTCTGTCTTCTTCCCTATGATAAGTTTATCTCGCAATCAGTTTCTCAGTTAAACAGCATCACTCTTAAGAGAGTGGTACACATTCCAAACAAAAAGCCTCAAAAAAACAGACATACAAACAAAACTGAGTTATCCTGAGTTCACAAGTCGCTGCCCATCAGCTAAGACCCCTAAGATGACTATGTGCTTACTCCCACCCCACAGCACAACATAAGGGAAGATGCGTGAGCTTAAGCCTCAGTGAAGGAATTCTCTGACAATCTCACTGCTCAACTGGGACAATCTAAGTGCCCAAATACTGCTCAATGCGTACAGCTTGCAAGCCAACGACACTTCTGTAAGTCAATTACAACCACAGCCAGATAATGCAAGTTCTTAAACTGCAGTCTCACTCTTCTTACGATTCATAAGCATTGGTGCTTCATCTGCCCAGTTATCCTACTTGCTTGTGCTTTAGAAACTCTAAGAAGCACTTCTGCATTGCTGGCATTATGGACGGCTAAAAAGCATGACGA